GAGGTGTGCACCGCTCGCTCGGTACCACCTCCTCTCTCTCTCTCTCTCTCTCTCTCTCTCTCTCTCTCTCTCTCTCTCTCCCTCCCTCCCTCCCCCCTTCTGTCTCTCTGTCTCTTCATCTCTCTATTATAATAAACTCTCCACGTGGGTGCAGTGTCTGGGTTGTGTATGACCGGCTGTCGCCATGCCCAAATGGAGCGGGTTGCCTGCCCGCCCACCACTGCATATGCCCAGCATACCAGCATGGTTCCCTGCGTGTGTGGGATACCCCGAGGGTCCCCCCATAAATAAATCGTAACATTGCCGCCCAGCATTGCCAGGCAATCCCACTGCTTTCTCCTGCCCACCAGCAGTCAGAGGAGCTTTTAGACCCTGAACCAGCCACCATTTTTACGGCTGGAGGACTGTGGGAAACTCTTTACTCTATTGGATCAGTAAGATTCTTCCCTTCCCTTCTGGCCATTTTCCTGCAATGGAGGCTTTGCTGTCTCTCTTGATCATGGCACTGGCACCACATGTTTTTCGGGCTCTAAGCCCCTCGGGCCTATGCCTTCCATGACCCATAGCTATTGTTTCCATAATGAATTTGCTAGGACTCTTGCATACAAAGAATCAAAACAGCGGGGCTGGAGAGGTGGCTCAGCAGTTAAGAGCACTGGCTGCTCCTCCAGAGGACCCGGGTTCAATTCCCAGCACCTACTTGGCTTCTCACAGCTGTCTATAATTCCAGTTCCAGGGGATCCTACACCCCTACACAGACGCACATGTAGGCAAACACCAGTGGAAATAAATCATTTTAAAAAGAATCAAAATAGCTTAAGCAAATTTTGTTCTTAAAGAGGATTTTATTTTTATTATATGTAAATGTGTGTCTATGTATGGGCATGTGCCCATTAGTGCTGGTACCTGAGGACGCCAGAATAGAGCGCCAGTTCCCCTGGAACTAGAGTTACAGATGTTGTGAGCCACCCAACATGGGTGCTGGAAACTGAACTCAGGGCCTCTGGAAGAGCAGTAAGTACATTCTCCTAACTGCTGAGCCATCTCTCTAGCCCTGAGAATTTAGATTTTGAAAACAAAAATAAAAACAAAAAACAAAAAACCTTACTGGGAAGTGCTGCAGTCATGGTGCACAGATGAAGCTGAACTTGGACTGATGCTCCTGGCTCTCCTCTCCAGCTTCCTGCCACAGGCCTCTCCAAGCAGCGCTTAACGTGGTTGCCACCTGCTTGAACATGTTCTACCTATCAACCACATGTAAGTCCCAAGGAAAACTCGGGCTAGTTCCCAAAGTACCCAGGGTCCTGAGCAGACAGGAAATATCGAGAACCAGAACTAGTAACACATATGGAGATATGTGGAGATGGGCAGGGTCATTGCCTTGGCTGCAGAGACGAGGACAAGGGACCTCATAGGTTGACCCCTCCCTTCGCTGCCCCACGGGACAGCTGGAGCCAGGCTCTGGTCCAGACAGGGGAAATGGCTTCCTGGGAGTTTTTGTCAATGATATTGGGCATCTTCATATGTGCATGCAATTTTTTGGTCAAGTAACTTATGCTCATTATAAAGGATAGACCAGAAATACGAAAGCACCAATTCCTTTTATCTGCATACCTCAGAAACTCAGTAGTTTCTCTTGAGTGTTTCTTCCGGCACCTCCAGTCTATCCTGTGTGCCTGTCCGTCAGAAAGTGTAACTGGAGAGGAGGAAGCCACCTCACCCCAGTGTGATGACGCTCCACTGACCCTCCAACGCATGTCTTTTGGACAGATGTAGCTTCATTTTGCTGTAACCACTTCAAGAAAACACTCTGGCCTCATCAGTCCACTAGCAGTAGTTCCTGTCTTCGCCCCATGTTGTTTGGGTCACTAGGGCTCAGTGCTGTGTAAGGCTCTCCAAATCACTGCTTACTGGGCTTCTTTCTGTGCTTTTGATGCTACGTGTTTCTCACAACATTCCCAGGTAGACTGTGACGAGCGTCCCTTCTTCCTGTGTCCCCTCTTTGGGGGACATTCCACAGAGTCAGATTCGCAGGACCCTTCTGTTTCCAAGGCAAGTGCTTCACCCAGTCATCTTCCCAGCCCTGACCTTGAACTTCGATTCTCCTGCCTCTGTCACCAAAGTGCTGGGGCATTGCAGGTGTGTGCCACTGCAGCCTGTCCGTTTAATATAAGTGTAATTGTGCAATACAGTTAGACACTCACCCATAGTTGACCATCAGTGGACACTTTCTATGTGCCACAGATCAACTCTTAAGTGCTTGAAATTTACTTAATCCTCACTATAGTCCTGAGGGATGTGAATATCATGCCTATTTTACAGATGAGGAAACTGAAGTATTAAGAAATTATCGGGCGGTGGTGGCGCACGCCTTTAATCCCAGCACTCGGGAGGCAGAGCCAGGC